CCCCCCTCCCCTCCAGAACCCTGTTTGTTTTTCAGAGTCCGTCGTCTCTCATGGTTCGTCTGAGGGTTCTAGCTTTTAAAACCCCGGGGCCACTGGTAGTGTGGCATGAGTTTGATGTGTGGGCCTGTGTGTTTCCCTGACCTCGCTGTTTTCCTTCATCGTAGGCACAGCCGGTGTGGCCGGGGATGTGATTGCCACCAAAATCGTCGAGCTGTCCAAAAAGAACCGGGTGCTGACAGCAGAGTCAGAGGGCGCGAAAAGCAGAGTGAAGCAGCTGAGCAATCGTGTCCAGGAGCTGGAGCAGGAAGTGAGGGGCCTTGGTCATTCCTGCCTCTAGAAGGGACTCCCAGGACCCTGGGCCACTCCTCCAGAGAGGGAGTCACACTTAGATGCTTTGGGTCCTTCTGAAGGGCTTGTGGGTCAGTGTTTGCAAAGAGTTCCTCAGTCTTTGTCATGTCCTGAGAGGGGGGAAAGTGTGTCAGGAAGCAAGGGGGACACAGCGCACGGGGAGGCAGCCGTCAGAGTGGTTAGGACACAGATCCGGAGCCTGACCTGGGTGTGAATCTCAGCTCCGTCACTGACCTGCTTTGTGACTTCGAGTAGGTTATAAATGCGCTGTGCCTCAGTTTCCTCCATCTGACACATAGCAGTAATAACAGTACTCACCCTAAGGTTTTTCTGACCATCAAGAGACGTAACAGTGTAAAACGTTTCAACCTGTGCCTGGCATGGAGCAAGCACTAGATAAACGTTCGTTACCTACATTAACAGGGATCCTTGCTAGTGTGAAGCTAGAGCCAGGAGCACTCCAGCAGCTGGTCTCACTCTTGCCCATCTTCCTCTTTCTGCTGCCCCCCTGCCCTCCCACAGCTAGTCACAGACCCCCAGTCTTGCAAGGACACAGCCCGAGCACTTCATGGTCCCTTCGGGGCTGGGATGGAATCCACAGGCTAGAGAGGACCTATGTAGCTCCCTTATATGGCTGAAGAAGCTGGAGCGTGAAGAGGGTAGGGGGCTTTCTCGGGTCACGCAGCCTGCGGTGGGGCTGCATTGCTATTTCAATTCTGTTGCCGTCTGCAGGCCTCCCCAGATGTTATGCTGGCCATTGAATTAGAGCTTCTTTATTCTATAACACATGGTTTGAGAAGCACCTCAGGCTCTGTGCCAGGCCCTGTGGGGGGAGCGAAATAGGCATGGGCCTTGCCCTCCTCAGGGGCAAACCCAGCACCTCTTAGAGGAGGGGGCGCTCACAGTGGGTCCCTGGAGGGTGGGAAGGGGCCACACTGGGAAAGGTGGGGGACAGGCCCCCATGCAGAGGGCCCAGCAGGCGCCAAGGTCCTGAGTGGGGAAGAAGGTCTTAGAGGAAACCCAGGTGGCCAAGAGTAGAGGAAGATGAGGTCAGAGAGGTGGGAGGGCAGGCCACCCCGGCCTTATCAGACATGGTCTGGTCTTTGTGTGAACAATCAGGAAAGCTTTAAAGGGGCAGTTGGCTGTCTGTGTGAAACACTAGGCTTGGCTCCAGGCCATGAGCCCATGTGGCAGGCTTCTTAGCATCTCTGACCCTGTCTTCTTATCTACCACATGAAGTCCATTATCCCTTTACGCAACTCCTCCCAGATTGTGGACAGAGGTCCAAGATACAGACCACGGCTACAGTATTATGTATGAAGCTGTTAGTGAATCCTAGTATGTGACTGGGGAGTGGGGCAGACCATTGATCAAACCCTCTCCCACCGCAGAGCAGTTTGTAGGGGAGTGTTCTTCCGTTAATGGTCCTAAAGTGAGCTGGAAGGTGAACCAGTGAGATCAGTAACCACGGCGGCATGAGCACCACACTCAGGTACCACAGTTGCCAAGCAGAATCCAATATTAAGTGCAAGGTTTGCTTTTCAGCTGCAGGCGGCCCTGGCCAGGCTACCAGCCAAGGCAGCCACCGATGCGGGAGCCAAAGCGTCGAGGGCTCAGATGGGAGACAGAGCCTTGGTATGAATTCTAGTCTGTGCTGGGTAGTCTGTGGGCCTGGGCCTCCTGTCCTCTATGGGAGTGTAGGCGCCTCCGTCTAGGGTCCACCCCATTGCTATGCCAAGCCCACCAGTGCAGCATCCTCAGCGTGGTCATCAGGGAACAATAGCCAAGTCTGTGGCCTGAAGCCAGGAATGCCCCAGTGGAGGCCAGTGAAAGTCTAACTCTGATTCAGTCCCCAGAGAGGGAGAACAGGAAGGGCTGGATGACCCTGGAACCCTAGAATTTCAGGACCAGCGGGGAAGGCCTGGTCCAACTGGCCTCCAACTGTCAGCCCAGCTGCATCCTTTACAGCATCCTCACTGGGGAGACATCCAGCCCCTTACTTTCCCCAGGGACAAGGAGCTCACTCCTGCCCAAGAGAGCCCTGTTGGGGGTGGGGGTACATTTCATATTGTGAGAAGTCTTCCCTTTGTGGAACTCCAAATCTACAAAGTCAAAGTGACTATTGGGAATGCAGCTTGTTCCCCAGATTCCATTCTACTCGGCCAGTGAGTAGGGCCTGGAACCCAGGAAATGAGGATTGTGGCTTCACGAAAGGAAGGCAATCTGACCCTGTGGGCTACCAGGGAGGGGCATGGGGCCCATGCCAGATGATAAGTAGCCTCAGAGTCTTAAAAACAACTCAGGAGGCCTCCCCAGGGGTGTTCTTGGAAATAGAGGGAGTCAAGCCTTAGGACTCCCTGTTCAGTGCTCCTTTTCTAGCTCCACCTCCCTTTGCCTACAACTCAGGGTCAAGCCACCTCATGCCTGACTTGGGGAGAATTCAGCCCTCAGTCTATAGTGATAGTTTCCTAGGGCTCCAGGGGGGCGAACCTAGTGGGGTGAAGGCTAGTCTTGTGTAACCCTGTCTCATTGCTGGGGAGGTGATAGAGGGGCTCTGCCCTCGGCAGGGGCTGTTCTGTAGGACCTTTCCTGGTTCCAGGGGACCCTGATAAGCTGCTCCAGGTTTATCCAGAACACTGAGCATTGACATGTCCCTGACTAGGCTGCCATTAATGGGAGGCTGCTTGTTCAGTCACTTGTTGAGCGTGATAGGATTTTCTGAGCCCTGTGAAACAGGGAATCAAAGACAGGGCCTCTGTCCACAGGGGAGCCCAGGAGGGGAGATGAGTAGCCACACCGAAGGAAAGAGGGGGACAGGGCCTTCAGAAAGAGCCCCAGGGCCTCAGAGTTCACAGAGAGAGCACACCCTCCCTGTGAGGCAGCTAGGAGGTGGGCTGGAGGAGGGGGTCCTGAGGTGGGCCTTGCTGGAGAAAGGGGGATGGGGGAGGGCCCTCCAGCAGAAAGTACAAGCCGAGGCTGAGAGGCCGGGCAGCACTAAGTATTCCTATTCTGTTTGCTAGCTGCGTGTGGGCTGGACAGTGTTTGCCCGCAGCCCAGGGCCTGCAGAGGGGAGAGGGGGGAAGGAGAATATAAGCCAAACAAGGCTAGGGTGGGGTGACCCACGGAGGGCGGCCTTGACTGGCGGCTGGAGCTGGGGCACTCAGCTTTGCTGGTAGGCTTCTGCCAGAAGAGCAGCGGGTAATGGGCAGTAAGCCTCCGTTCAGCAGTACCGTGCGTTTTCCAGGGCACTTGGGATCGGAGAGAGAACAAAAGCAGCCTTCCCCCTCACTACACCATTCAGGGTAGCCCAAGCCTGAACCACACTTCAGAGGCCTGCGCTCACGGCACGCTCTGGCCCCAGGCGCCAAAGCGCATTCCGGAGTGGAGCTGAATGCCCTGTCTCCACTCGGCTCGGTCGGGCGTGGGGCTCCCAGAGGCTGTGCTGCGAGAGCATTGGCATCGTCTGTTCCCCTTGGACTGCGTTTCATTTAGTCCCTCAAAGAAAATGGCCCAGGGAAGGGGAGGGTTAGGCCCCTCCTCAAGTCCCCCACAAAGCCCGTGGAATTTCGCTCTGGGCAGAAGCAGCTCTGAGATGGCAGCGACGTGGGGTTGGCCCCATGTCCAGGAGGAGAGGACTGGGGGCTTGGCAGAGCAGAAGACCGAGAAGTGGACGGCACTGGCTAGCCCTCAGCCCCCTTTGCCAGCTACCCCAGGCCAGGCTAGGCGCCCCCCCTCCGGCATTGCCCTGTCAGAATCTGCCCCAAACAGCATCCTTCATACGCACCTCCTCTCAACACTCACAGGCCCCCTGGGCACTGGTGTTAATATACCCCTATTTTTACAGATGAGGAAGCCAGGCGTGGAGAGGGGAGTCATTGCCTGCGTTATAGATCCGGTCCCGGATGCGTGCTCTTCCCAGGCTTTGAGCAGGGTCACGGCCGTCACGTGGGACGCTCATAAACACAGCCCCTGCACCACCACCTGTCAGGGCCTGCGGGCCTCATGCACCCAAGACCCAACAGGCAGGGGGTGTTGCTTCTTAGCCTGGACACGTGCAGAGTTAGCCCCTTAGCTGGGAGAGGACAGGCATCCAACAGCAGGGAGAAGGAATGGCAAGACGCCAGACAGGGGGAAGGACACGCACACACACATGCACACACACACTTTTTTTTAAAGATACATTTGTGTTTTATATAAGTTCCCAGTTTATACTCTGTTCACATTGGGTATTCTGTTTAGCCTCATGGTGGTGCTGTGAAGAAGCAGGACAGAGAAGGATTCTTTACCCATTCCATAAATGAGGAAACCAGATGGGGTCAGACTTCTTGGACTGTGTGTCCGGTTCCCGTTTCCTTCCCCAGTGGTTTTCACCTGGGCTGTCCACAACCTCTGGGGACCGGGGAACTTCCCAGACCCAGTCTCTGTGGACCTGCCTTCTGCGCCAGTGTCCCCAGGAGATTCTGTGTGTGCCTCCTGAAGACAGCTCAGAAAGCCACTGCAGCACCTGCCCGGCTTCCCAGAAGTGCAGCCCACCTGGTCTGTCGGGCAGGAGCAGACGGTCTTGGCATCATGGCCTGATGGGATGCTCAGCCCACCCGTGATGCCTGGGTGCCGGAAACAGCTTCCAGTGGGAGAATCAGCTAGGGCAGGGGAAGGACCGGGCTTCTTCTAATCTGACTTGTGTCACCCCCAACATGCTGTGTGCCCTATGGCAACTTACCCCCCCCCGGGCCTTATTTTCATCACTTACATTGCCTTAATGCAGGCAATGACTCCCCTCTCCAAACCTGGCTTCCTCATCTGTAAAAATAGGGGTATATTAACACCAGTGCCCAGGGGCCTGTGAGTGTTGAGAGGAGGTGCGTATGAGGGATGCTGTCTGGGGCAGATTCTGACAGAAGGCATCCCTTTAATGCCAACCTTCTGTGAGCCTCAGAAACTTCTCCTGAAGACTGAGAAATAGATGGCACATTTGAGAAAAATTTACATCCAAGTAGTTTAAATCAAACATTATTAAACAACAACAAAAAAAGACACTGCTAAGAGTTCCAGCAGGCAGAGTTTTTGTGGTTGCTGCAGTTCTTCAAGCCACGGAAATGGAGCATTTGGCGATGAAACCGGGTCCTTGTTTCTGTTGAGTGAGCTCATTGCCAAGAAAGGGAGCTCAAGGAATAAGCTGATGGTTTCAGAAGGAGGCCCTGAGTTAGGAGGGTCATTGGGGGTTGCCTTCTGTGATGGAACTAGCCCCCTCTTTATTCTTTTTTTTTTT